CGCTGTCAGGTCATGAGGTGCGGTGGGAACTGCTCCTGAGGAAGTGTGGCCTGTTTCCCAGAAAGAAATTTTTTTGTTGTTACCGAACAGCGCCTCTGTTACAGGGTCAGTAAATTCACAGTGAGTACAAAGTGCTTATAATGCCTCTTATCCAGAGAAGCCTTCTGTTAAAATCAAGGTGTCTCTTTGCAGACAAGCCAGTCTCACTTTTAAAAGACAGTTTCATTTGGATTTCTACCTGTAGGTCAGAAAGTATAGGATTTGTATCAAGAGCTTCTATCTAAGAGTCCGAAATTTTCAGCTTTACTGAAATTGAAGTAAATGAAACAAAAAATGTGACCTAGTAAATTGAACACCCAGAAGTCTGCGGTGCTGCCTTGTCTGTCCAGCCCTGCCTGGTCCCCGGCCCCAGGGTCTGCCTGCCCGTCCGCAGGAGAAAGCATCTGCGGTTGGGCAACGTGGGCACCTGGGGTCTGAGATGACGCGGTCTGGTGGAGAGGACGACTTGCTTTGGAGTAAACACTTCAGCTCAGGTGATGGAGCTGACCCGCCTGCTGGAGGAGTAGCTGGGCCGTGCTCCGTCTTGTCCTTTCCTAATTTAGGAACAAACTTTGACTTCAGTTTGGAGCAGACGTAAGCGATGCACCTGGATGAGTGCTCGCGGCCACAGGCTTTGCTGTCAGTGTTGCCCAGAGTTTCCGGGAGACCCTGACGTCAGACCACCCTGTGGGGTGTCGGGGCAGGTGCTGGGAGGCCCAGGCTCACCGCCACTGCTCTTGTCCCGAAGCTGTGGCCTGAGCTGCGGCGGGGCTGGTGGTCCCGTTCTTCAGACCCAGGCACAGTGGCGTGTAGATGGGAGTAAAGCTGGATGCTCTCCACGGCCTCTGGCTCAGGACCCGTCTAGAGCTGCCACCAGGGTGGTGGGCGTTCTGAGCGAGCTTGGGAGCCGGCCCAGGGCAGTGGGGCTGGAAGAGGGGCTCTGGAGATCTAGAAGAGGAGGATCCCCCTTATTCCCTGCAGAGAGGAAGGAGGGTTGGCTGTGAGAAGGCTGGGGGTGTGTGGCAGGAACTGTAAGAGCTTTTGTAATTTGAGGGGTTTAAAAGTTTTCAAGTAAGAGAGATAACTCAGACCAACTAATTTTGAGATCATAGTCTGTTCTCAACAAGAGGGAGATTGGTTGGTTTAAGTTGTTTTATTGTTTAGTGTTTCTGAGCTACAAAGATTATTTTTCTTGTCTCTCAGCAATAGACTCTGGAACAAAGATGCGGGTGTTCTGAGGCTTCGCCCACCTGTTCGAGGACTCCGAGCCTGTGGTCAGGCCGGCTGGCCGGGGCGGTCGAGGCCTTGCAGGCTGCCACGTGGCCAGGAGTGGCGCGGGCGCGTTGATGGGATGCTGTGCTCTGCCCTGGGCGGGTGGGTTGGGTCCGGCGGGGTCCTCGCGGCCGCTCGGTCCCTTTGCCTGTGAGGGTCCAGCCTTCGGCGAGGATGAGCTGCTCCTGAGCAGTTGTCCCAGCGGTGCGGAGCTGTGCCCGCCTGTCTGTGTCTCTCCTCCTGCACCTGTTCTCAAATCAGAATAATGCTTTTCCCAGCCCAGAAGCAGCATATTTAAAGTTGGGGGAGATACGAAAGGCCAGGGCTGAAGCGGGGAGAACAGGCGTGTGTCCTCTGTTTTCCGTCCTGCGCTGGTGCTGTGCTCTTTCTCTGTTAAGGGCTGCCTCTCTTCTGATTGGATCCTCTCTGCTGCTTCGTCTGCTTCGTGGGGGGGGGAAGGGCGGGGCCAGTGGAGGTGGGCACCGGGGAGGGGCCAGGCCAGGTAAAGGGACTCGTGGAGTTGGAGCCTCCTGGGTCCCTTGGGGTAATTAACCTGGTCACTCTGCTCTCTCTGGTTGCGCTATGGGTGTCCCAGTGTGTCTGGGGAGGAGGGGCCTTGAGGGAGGACCACCTGTCCTGGCCTGGCCTCGTTGATTACGCGTGTTCCTGCGTAATGAGCTGTTACTGGAAGTGCGTGACGAGGATGGAGGATCCGGGTCACAGCTCTGTCCCCTTGAGGGCGCCGCTGGGACACCAGGTGAGGACGGCTGGAGAGCGGGTGCTTGGGAGCCGTTGGGCAGACAAATTTAATGCCTCTTGAACTTAACAGCAAGAAGTTTGGACTTCAGTTTTGTATGTCTTCTTTCATGTTTCTGGCAGTTAAGTTTATTACGTGTTATGGAAGTTCTCATGGGTCGTGGCCTGGGGAAATGGGAGAAGACTGTCAGCCCCCGCAGGTGGGAGCCTGGCTCTGGACGCCCCGTGCATGTGGGTGCCACCTCTGCTCTGTGGGTGCCGCCGGGCAGCCCTCCCGCCCACCTGCCCGCCCGGGTCCTCGGGGAAGGGCTGTTTGAGGAGCGGCTCCTGGAGAAGCCCTGCACCCCAGCCAGAAGTCGGAAGTGCGGGTCGTGAAATGCACGCGTGTGGAGAAGCCGGGCCACGTGTCCGCTCCTGCAGGTGTCCCTCCAGGTGTCCGTCCCGGTCATGTCGGGTGAGCCCAGCGGAGGCGGCCTTGGCAGCTCTTGCCACCTTACGTGGGGCCGTGCAGTGTGTTTCCCCAGAGCTGCTCTGAGTGTTCTAGTTCTGACCCTCCTGTGGCCTCGTTGCTTTCCTTGGTTTTGAACTGGGGGCTGGGGGACTGGCGTCTCCCCGGGTAGGTCCCCCCCGTCCCGGCTGCCGGCTCCGGGCTCTGCACCTGCGAGGGCCCTCCTGGGGCGGGGCGGGGAGCGTGGGAGCGCAGGGATGGCACGTCCCAGAGCGGATGTGTTTTGACCAAAGAGCTGACGTGAATAAAAGTAAAAAAGAGCACAGGGGAGGAATCTGGATGCTTCACGATGTGTCTCCGTTGTGTTGGGGGCTCTTCCGGCGCGTTT